TTAAGTTAATAGCTATCAGTATATAATATCTATGGTTATAGCTTAAAAATAACAGAAATGTAGTCTTTTCGTAATAGCAAAAAAAGTAACTTTTTTGATTTAAAATTTTATTTAAATGTTCTTCAAAATTAAACAAAGAAACAGACATATTACAATATTTATTATTTGTATTGAAAACAAATACTTTTTGCCAATCCAACAACAATTAATCCAGCATTGACTAAGTCTTTGACTACCGCAGCCCCAATTCCAGAACTAGCCCCGATCACCACAGCTACTTTATTTTGCTAACGATCCATTATTATTTTTATAGTATTTAAGTGAATAAGCTCTTAAATTTTGACTTTAAACTCTCATATTTGAAACTGAATCAAATTAAACTAATTTTGCAATCTCAATTTAAGAGGTTTCTCTTATTTTTCAGTAGTTTTTGGCTCTTAGATACTTTTCACGGTGACTGTGCTATTTTCGAATTATCCCACGTTAATACACTACAAAATATTAGTCACTCAACTTTTTAAGTGCTTATAAACTCGGTAAAATTATTATTGTATATGGCTTATCAGTGAAATTGATAAAATTCAGTATGTTTAAATCTACTGAATTAGTTAAGAAAATAGTAAATTTTAATAAATGCAATTTCGTCCTATGATTAGAAATGGTTACGATTTCAAAATTTAAACTAACTCTAAAAAACACTACTTTAAAGTAGTCTTCTTAATATATTGTTAATATCAAGTCCATGGCTTATATTTTTATGGGCAATCGGTTTGCAGCTTAATCCAATCTCTAAAAGCCTATTCCATATCATTGCCAAAATTCACAGCAAAGTGACTCTTTGACATTGAGTTTAACGTTTGCGTTGTTTGTAAGTTGTCTTCTGCGGTCCTCTTAAGGATTCACCTGATCTGCTTATAATCAACACTAATTTTTGGTAACACAACGGCCCAATATTTGAGCTCAAGTGGTCTCTAGTGTATAAGTCTGCTACTCTAACCTTACCTAATCGATGTCTAATGAATGGTATTGTACATTATTTGTATATAAAATAAAAATTTAAAAAGTTTAGTACAGTATAGTTGCAAACAAATAAATTTCTTGGAAGCCTAAATAAATTCGCTTTCTAGCAGTATGCAGATAGATCAACTCAAGCTCATAAAATAATTATTCAAATGATATCAAAGACAAACAATCTTAACAATCTTAAAAACAAGAAGCACAATAGCTCCTACTTCTTTATCAGCTTAATTATCCTAGATTTTTTTATTGAATTTTATTGAAGCATACATTGGAATAAAAAACAACGGACTGCTAGCTTTTGAGAGAACAGAAGTCTACAACAATAATTGATCGTTTCTACGAGTATTATTCACCGGACCTAACAGATCACGGATAATCTGTGACAGAGAGTCAGAGACGGAAAAAAGCCAAAATGTAAGCTGCTGAAGACATTTAAATTTCTGACGACGACACGAATTTTCGATATAGCACTCTCTTCTTGACCTCAGATCTGTTCTACTGAGATACACTTTACTGTAATTTAACGGTTACATCAGCCATTTAGCCTGGCTATAATTTAGATTGCTACACCAATAGTGAGTTCTTCCAGCTAATGTACTAAGGCATATGTCAAGGTTATCAAACCTTTAGCTGATTTTTTATAACTAATCGGTAATTGCATGCAAATCAATAACTATTATACCATATATGATCACTATATTATTTATATGATGCAGAAGCCCTATAACAGCTTATGCAAAAATCTTCAATACTGAAGTACTTAGATATAGCTACATATATTTAGATATATATATATAATATATATTTTTTCAAAAAGCCGTGCCAATCGAATCAAAAGTTATTGATATATCAAACTCATAACTTTGTAGCATGGAAGAAAAGTTTTAATTTTCTTTTAAGACCCAATTATTAATAAGAAAAACTGTCTTATTTATATATTTAAAAATATTATAAACAGCGGAACCTTAACGTACAATTATTCAGTTATTCACAAACTTTAGATTACAAATAATTTTAATATATTAAGCATATATGCAAAAATGTAAATAAAGGGCATTTAAATCTATATATAATCTGTATTTATTCATTGGTGAATGACTTCAGTTACTAGAGCAATAGAATCAACTTATTCAACTCATTAAGTTGTATATGAGATATATATAAGTTATATTAGTTATATATGTGAAATATATATGTATAAGTTATATACACATAATATTTGAACTGATAATTTTCAATTTTTATAAGTTCACTATTGCTGATCACATCCAAATCACTTTAACAAATTTTTTTTCTTGTGAATTATTAAAACTAAATTATTTATTTTGCAAAAATATATATAGCAAAAAATACTATATAAATTAAAATAAGATTCATTATATTATTAATTAATATATTATTCATTATATTCAAATATTTTTAAATAATGCATATTATTATCAACTACATCTTATTTCCTGTAATCAGAGATAAGTACTGCATTTCCAATTAAAAATTGAAACAGTAATGCATATTCATATCTTATTAATAAATTTATTTAAATAAAAACAATTAATTACAACAGCAAATATATAACCGGTATCATTATATTAAAATCAACAATTGTTGAAAATGAAATTTTAAAATGGACTTGATTATCACAACGTCAAATTAATTCCATAATAAATGCACGGTTCGCTATCTCGAAATAGACTTAAGTATTGATAATTATGCGTTCTCCAGTAAATAATTGTTTATTTATACTATACAAAAAAAATTATGGTTTTATTATAAAATTTAATAATATACATTACTTGTAATTGATGTTATCGTTAGATACCAGCATTATTCACTAGTATATCAAAGTAAGCCAGATTTATTTCAATTCAATCAAATGAATAATTAACCTAATCTTCACTCGAAACTGACGTGTATATAATGTTGTTTTTTCACCTTAACCACTTATTCCTAACCACTTATTAGATCTTCAACACATTGACACGATGTCCCAAAGTCTTTGACTATTGTAGCACCAAAACCCGAACTGGCTCCGGTCACTACATTTACTTTATTTTGCTAATGTTTCATTATTTTTTTTTTTGATTACTATCTAGGTTGATACATATCATATGTATCATATGTACATATCATCATATGTATCATATGTAACATATGTTTCATAACGTTTTCAAGACGGTCACCTAGATTCTCGAAGCACTTCTTAATTTGTTCTCAATGCGTGTTAATTCGATCACAGTACTTTAGTAAGGTAGGTTTCAATAAAGAATAGATTAAACAACATATTTAAATCTATACGCGAATCCTGTAAATCATTCAATCAGAGCAATATAACTAAAATCAAGCTTGTGATTTTACATGAATCTCTAATCACTTTGCAAATTTCTATAGTCTATAGCCAACATAAGATTGAATATTTGTAATCAGACATACAATATGTGTATAAAACTTTCCAGTTCTTAAACAATAAATCCAGGAATGCTGACCACAAGTAACCTAGACAACGTCCATAGTAACGTTTAGTATGAATTTCAATTTTAAATATCTATATATCCTAAATATATATCCTAAATATATATATATAAGTATGTATACATATATATATATATATATATGATTAACTAAAAATTGCTTTTTATACAATTTTGACTTTTCAAAGTATATATTGCTTGACTATATCTGATTAATTTGAATAATAGTTGTGTGTGAATTTGGATATTTCTCTTTCTAACAATAACTTATTGAAAAGCATAGTCAAGATTCTTATACTTCGACTTCAGTACCAACAGTTATAAATTAAATTCGATTTATTTAAAAATTGTTAAACTATTTAGCGAATCAATATATAAAGACAGATAGAAACAGATATTCATGAATCATGTATCTTGCCTATTAATTAATAAAATATATATTTTTATGAAGTGTCCAATATCTTAACAAGTACATATTTTATAGCCTGCACAAAAAACAATAAAATAGTTAGACTGTAAGACTATTCCTCGTATAAACGATGAATATAAAACATTTGTGTTTATTTTGAATTTGATATGTAGATGCAGAATTGCATGGACATAAAAACAGAAGATATTTTTAAAGTTAATAAAAAATGTTTATTTACACAAAAACACATGTAACCATATGTTTTTATATTTTACATTTCTCATTATTTTTTTTATAATGAATTAAATAATAACCAGAATTTATTGAAAATTTGATTAAAGAAACACAAAGTCTTCTTTGCCGCTTTTGTCAACCCATCACTGGGTTCGGAGATCTATGTGAATTTGTGCTAAAAAACAAAGCTTAAGCATATTCAGCTATTCAGCACATATAAAAAAGTAAAATATAATAATTCTGGAAAGGAGAGGGCTTAACCTTAATCATTAGCCTCCTTTTTAAGAAATCACATTTAAAAATAACATTTTTAATATCAAAACAGTAACCTACATAGCGACTAGAGCACATATAAACCTTCAAGTTTTCATATAAATTCATATAGTTAGGTTCTTAATTTTCATCCGATTTATGCACATTTAGATTAAATAAATAAATATGTGTCAAACAATATAAATATTAGTTGCTGTAGTTAATCACTGTGTGATCATTTTTGGAATATTCATTAAAAAAGTTGTAGGAACAGATATGAAAATCACAATGACTACACAAATTTTTCCATAAACATGGCGTCATCAGCTATCAGTCATTTAAGTTAAGTATTTCAAGCATTCGTTCTCGAATTTTCTCAACTGGAATATGTTTATCAAACTCACAACACTTAAGTTTTAAATAGATTAATTTAGTAGCATATTATAGTAAGTATTGAAATTTATTATATTGCTAATGACGTATGGTATGACGTATAATTAAGCTAATAGCTTTCAGTATACAATATCTTTGTCTTCAACTATAGCTGAAAAATGACAGAAATGAAATCTTTTTGTAACAACAAATAAAACTATTTTTTTTATTTAAAATTTTATTCAAATTTATTTAAAAATCATACAAACGAACACTTTACGAACACTACAAACTATTAGAATATTTTTTATTTAAATTGAAATTAGTTACTTCTTGTTTTTGCTTTATTAAAACATTTCGCCTACAGGCTTTATGGTTAACTCATGAATTTGCACATGGGGAGGTGTAGAGATTGCGAATAAAACTGCATTAGAAATATCTTCAGATTGCAATATACGATCGGACATCATTTCCTTAAATTGATCAGGAACAATCTCCGTTGCAACTAATCCAGGGCTAATACTCTAAAAAAAAATTAAAAATTAATAATATTTCATTAAATTCAATCTTCTCATAAAACGTACAGTGATCTTGACTTTAGTTTCCAGATTATTAAATTCTTGTCGATAAATTTCTGTCATTGCAGTCACGGCAAATTTCGATGGTGCGTAAATATTGCCAGACGGTGCCTTAAGTATGGTACTATTTAAAACTTGATGACCAACAATACTGTTTATAATTAAAACATGTCCATTGAAATTACGTTCTTTCATTGATTTAAATGCACGTTTGGTACAATATACCACACCCATGACATTGGTCTGTAGAACTTCTTGCACTAAATTTGTATCAATTTCAGATAAATTTCCTTGTTTGTAAATGCCAGCATTGTTGACTAAAATATCAATTCCACCCAGATTCTTTTCAATCCAATCAAATGCTTCATTCACTGAATCCTCATTGGAAACATCACATTGACGTGCATGTAGATTTTCTTTCTTTCCCTTAGCAACTTGTTCTTTAAGTTCTTCAACACGTTGTACGCGACGTGCCAATCCAACAACAATTAATCCAGCATTGACTAAGTCTTTGACTACCGCAGCACCAATACCTGAACTGGCACCGGTTACTACAGCTACTTTATTTTGCCAACGGTCCATTTTTATTTTATTTTTTTTTTTTTGTGTTGAAATTTGCTTGAGATATAACTTTATTCACTTTACAACGGCGAAACTGAAACTGATTCGATGTAAATTATTTCCGAAATATTTATACCTTGTTTTTGTGTATATCTAGAGAGATTTTCATTTATCTCATATTGCTGTGATTTGTTGTAAATACATACTACTTTTATACTCATTTTATACTCATTGTCAAATAGCAGCTGGAACAAAACGTTACTCTTACAATGTCTTAAGCGCTTATAAAGTCTATGTAAATTCTTTCATCATTGACCTGAAACTCTTTAGTCACCGAAGAACTAACCTCTTTAATGGTGGAAGTGAAATCTTGAAACTTATAGCAGTCTCACGTATTTTTCCTACTCTTTGCTATCAAGCTATTAAAATTCTCTCTTAATTGATCGAAATTTATGGATCTGTAATAGAGCTTTACTGGGATTTCCTTTCCCATGATTTTTCAAATGGAGAAAAATTTTGTTTAATAAATGTATATGGCAAAAGATTTAAATTTCAATCATAGCAATCAAAAGAGCAGACTTTTTTGAAACAGCATTGTAAACGATTTATATATTTCGTGTCATTTCATATATGATCCCATGTAAATAAAATTAATCAGATATGCGTATATGGTATTTACTAAATACACTACTTACCTGCCTTTGTCCAAAAATATTGTTACAGAAAAACTTGAAACAGACATGAATTTTTAGAACATCGTTAGTGATTTAAGAGAGCATTTAAGAGAGTACTTTACAATTTCTCTGATATACTCTTCAGTACTATATTTGTAATATCTTGAGCGATTGCTGAATATGGTTTACGTCAGACAAAAGATAACAATGTGCATAGGTATTATGAAATGCGTGCACCGCAATGTGGTTATAGATATTTTAATCAATTTTTTTTATGTTTAAAATATGTCTATTTTGTGAAAAATTTAAGAAAATTTTTAGACTCTAGACAGCATTATGTTATAACTACTACATATAACAATGTGAAGTGTGGCTAAAAATTAGGAAAGCTATGTGAAATTTAATGTATTTTATTTCATATAGTTTCTTGCATATATATGTATATGTATTTCTAAAAATAGGTTTTCTACAGAAACTAGTATATAAACTTCAGACATATATAAGCCATACTCAAATCTGGAATAAACTATATGAAATTTTGTCTATCAAAAAACAAATAGAAACAAATTAATAATCTAAATGTGTAGCGTTTTCAAAATAATCAGAATCTAATACATAGCAAAATATTTAATCAGTCATAAAAAATATATGTTTTAATAAAAACGCATTTTATTTTATAAAACTAAATTCTTCAGCCAAAAATATTTATACCGAAATAAATTATTTTCAGTGAGATCAGCGAGTAAACAGTACGCAATATCATTGAACTGGGTTAGATACAACTAAGCAATACATTGAACAAAGAACAGAATTATTCTCAGCAAATTAACAAACTGATATCATTAAAAAGAATTCAAAAACATGTCCACCATAATTTTCTAGGAGCAGTACAGTACAAATAGTAATCTACAAGGTGCTACGAAAAATCCAAACTAACCGGGCCTAGCGACACTTTATCATGGACGTAAATTCTGGACGTAGCTAAAATCGAAATGGCAAAATTCGTTTCGGTGCTGAGAGATCACTAACCATGGAACAGCTATGTTGGAGAGTGTGTATCTCTTTCAACTATAGGTGAGGAGTTGCGAAGAGCAAAATGAAAATGAAACAACTGAAATCATTTTTAGAAACACCTAAGTCTGGCAAAAGTAAAACACTTCGCCGTAGACGTCTAAGAAATCAGAAGCCTGGCAGACAGCCTAAATATAGATTCTCAAAATATAATCCCATTTTTTAACTGCATATTTGGATTGTAAAGCTACGACTTTTACACCAAAACGCTGTCTATGCATTGGAAGGGCAGAAGAGTTAGCTAATCGATACTAAAAACAGCCAACTTTTAAGAAGATAATCCTAAACAACCTATTTCATACAAATTAGACATTGTAAATATGGCGCATAAAACAAATATTTTTATTTCATATAATTTCAGTTTTATTTAAGTATATTTATAATTTTTTGAAATTAGTATTTCACTATAAATATTACTATATATCTTTTGTTATATCATTCTCAACAAATAATTATTTCATTTATCACATATGATTATTTTAAACTTAAAGGACTTCTCCTACCGGCTTAATAGTTAACTCATGAATTTGCACATGCGGTGGTGTGGATATTGCGAATAGAACTGCATTAGAAATATCCTCGGGTAGCAATGTACGACCCAACATAGTTTTTTTTAACTGTTCCGGAAGCATCTCCGTTGAAACTAATCCAGGGCTAATACTCTGTAGAACGAACACAATTTTTATCAATTTTTTAAAATTTGCAACTTATTAGGACCTACAGTTATTTTAATCTTAGTTTCCAAATTATTGAATTCTTGCCGATAAACTTCTGTCATAGCAGTCACAGCGAATTTCGATGGCGAGCATATATTACTGGATGGTGATTTGAGAATTGCAGTATTTAACACGTTATGACCAGAAATACTGTTTATTATTAAAACATGACCATCAAAATTACGTTCCTTCATTGATTTGAATGCACGTTTTGTGCAATATACCACGCCCATAACATTGGTCTGTAGTATTCCCTGTAATATATTTGTGTCTAATTCACATAAATTTCCTTCCTTATAAAGACCAGCATTATTCAACAGTATATCTATGCCACCTAGATTCTTTTCAATCCAATCAAATCCTTCATTCACTGAATCCTCATTGGAAACATCACATTGACGTGCATATAGATTTTGTTGCTTTCCCGCAGCAACTTGTTCTTTAAGTTCTTCAACGCGCCCTACACGACGTGCTAAACCTACGACAATCAAGCCAGCATTGACTAAGTCTTTGACTACCGCAGCGCCAATACCCGAACTAGCACCGGTCACTACAGCTACTTTATTTTGCCAACGTTCCATTATTGTTTTTCTGATTTTTGTTTGAGATAAGATTTCACTTGTTCACTATACACCGACGCAATCGAAACTAAGTCGAAAGTATTCAACTACAAAATATTAATAGATTATTTTGTGATTTTAATTAAAGAGATTTTCTCTTATATTTTTGCCATGCTTTTTAGACTTTTTAGTTGATTTTTTACACATATTTCTAGGGTCTCATGTGGACTTCAAATCATAAACCAAATATTCTACCATTAGAGAATATTATATTTCGATTTCTTGAATGAAATGTAAATTTAATGAAAATTCTTCTTTTATTTGAACGAATCCATCTCAAAACCCAAGTAAAGAACAAGTTTTTTTAACGTGTCACAGTGTAACGGATTCTTTCTGCTCTTCAGTTTAGTTAAGAGAACGAAATAAATAATCAGATAAGAAAGTGACTAGGAATAATTGGAGACAATATTTAACTGTGTGAATTGTTATCAATTATGAATTTTTTGAAGTTTGCCAGATTAAAATTAGCCTTGGCCTTTCAAGGCAAATGCAAATAACTTATTTTAAGCCTGACAGTGCATCAAGCTTATTTGATACAAATAAGTGCTTAATTGATTAATATATTCTTATAAAAATTTTTAAAACCATCTACGCGTATAATAGTTAAATAAAAAAAATTATTTTATATACTGACAAGACTCTATTTTAACTCTGTGATTATATCTGAAGAGCATTCTTTGCAACACTATTGTGATGTGCGAGAGTTCAGACGTCAGTTTTTTATAATAACTACAATGACGTTTGGAATTGTTTAATCAACGTTTAAATTATTGTCAAATTTTTTAAAGACAAACAAGATATACTTATCACTAATGAAGCAGTAATTTTTTTAATCTTTTTAATTTTCAATTTTATTTGATACTATTTTTAATTTATTACAGTAAATGCTTTTCACTATATATAAACATAATAACCATTTGTTCTCATATTAAGAACAAATAATTTAGTAAATATTACTTTAAATTTATTTTTTAAACTTAAATGATTTCTCCTAGAGGTTTGATTGTTAACTCATGAATCTGCACATGCGGAGGTGTAGAGATTGCGAATAAAACTGCATTAGAAATATCCTCCGCCTGTAAAATACGATCAAACATCATTTCCTTAAGCTGTTTAGGAACTATATCCGTCGATACTAGTCCAGGACTAATACTCTGTAAATTCAAAACAACACATATATCTATTATATACATTTAGTTATTTGTAAAACTTACAGTAATCTTCACTTTTGTTTCCAAGTTGTTAAATTCTTGTCGATAAATTTCTGTCATTGCAGTCAGAGCATATTTTGACGGTGGATACATATTACTTGATGGTCCTTTTGAAAAAGCACCACTTGCAACCTTATGACCCAGAATACTGTTTATTATTAAAACATGTCCATTGAAATTACGTTCTTTCATTGATTTAAATGCACGTTTGGTACAATATACCACACCCATGACATTGGTCTGTAGTATATCTTGCACTATATTTGTATCAATTTCAGTTAAATTGCCTTGTTTGTAAGCGCCAGCATTGTTGACCAGTATATCTATTCCACCAAGATTCTTTTCAATCCAATCAAATGCTTCATTAACCGAATCCTCATTGGAAACATCACATTGACGTGCATGTAGTTTTTGTTGGTTCTCCTTGGTGACTTGTTCTTTAAGCTCTTCAACGAGTTGTACACGACGTGCCAATCCAACGACAATTAATCCAGCATTAAGTAAGTCTTTGACTACCGCAGCACCAATACCCGAACTGGCACCGGTTACCACAGCTACTTTATTTTGCCAACGATCCATTATTATTTTTATTATATTTTTATGAATAAACTCTTAAATTGTTCACTTTAGACTTTCAAACCTGAAACTGAATAAATTCAACGAACTCCAATGTTTTTATAGCTAATTTTGTAATTTTATTTAAAGAGCTTTTCTCTTATTTCTCAGTGCTTTTTGTGCTCTTAGATAATTTTTGTGATGACTTTGCTATTTTCGAAGTAAATCTTATTGAAAATATTACTCACTTGATTTTTTATTTAGTTTTAATAAAAACTGTTATAAGAATAAAAATTTTAAAATTTATTTTAATCTAATTATGAGTTTAAAATTATTAACAGAAATTATAACTTCAAATAAATACAATATTTAAAATATATCACATATAAGAAGACTTTTCAAAGTTCCATGGTACATTAAGACGAACGAATTCCTCAGGAACATCAAGATTGATCCCATCAAAAAATACATAAAAGATAGACCCCTGAAATTATTTGCGAAAACTTACAGACTTACTAACACCGCGTTATCAAATCTCAAAATAGTTTCGGACTCCTCGGGGAGACATGCCGATCTGTGGTCAATTATTGCTTAGTCTGATGAAGTGATAAACAATAATCCAGACAAGGCATAAAGAGAGATTTTGAAAATACCTCGAGTTTATAAAGAGTAAAAGTACTCAAGTGCACCGGCTCAAAACAGCTTCAACATAATAATTTTCACATAATATATTATAATTAAGGAAGTTTAATATGTAGAGAAGCACACGTCTGTAGTTCCTACAGTAATATGTGTTGTATTTGATCCGATGATCTAGCTGGCTTATGATTTAGTTCTAATATTGCACCGTATCTAAATTTCATTTCATTAAACTTTCATAGCAAATTACCAAAACTCCAAAGTGCGAACATACAAGTCAAGTATAGCTTTCGGTCAGTTGGCTAATGAACACTGTCTCTGAGCTTCATACTTTGAAGAGACGAGTTCAGCCCTTTATACTTGCAATCTCAAAAAAGTATTTAATAATAATTAAATATAAGAAATAATTCAAAAGACCACTAATGATAGGTATTTAGAAATACTCGAAACAGCTGTATCAAAAACAGCTGGTCAGCCAAAAATTCATAAAAACTTTTGTTGTTGCAATTCAGTACTTTTCGAAATCTCTCTATTAAGTACATTAGATTCTATTAAGTAAAATAGTCACTTTCTTCATAACTGAAGTTAAAATTCAAATTTAATAACTTTTAAATTTATGTTATTAAGAATAATTAATTCATACTACATAAATAAAACCGGTATCATTATAATAAAATCAACAATTATCGAAAATAAAATTTTAAAATAGACTTGATTATCACAACGTCACATTTATTCCATAATAAATACATGGTTCGCTATCTCAAAACATTTTTAAACATAGATAATTATTAGTTCTCCAGTAAATAAGTTTTATTTATGAAAACAACAAAAATAATCTTTAAGCTTTTGCTCAAAATTATAGTCAAAGACTAAATTAGGGTCGCGTGGTAGAATATAATCTAAAATCGTCTCTGTATTTATAATAAATATTTTTTATTATTTTTTATAAAAAACATTGTAAACTGCTATAAAACAGAACTTTTAGAGTTTGTACATAATTTTACATATTTTTAATCTAAGATATTTCTCCAACAGGCTTTATGGTCAGCTCATGAATTTGTACATGAGGCGGTGTTGATATAGCAAATAAAACTGCATTAGAAATATCTTCGGGCTGTAATATACGATCAGCCATTCTCTGCTTTAAGCCATCTGAAACAAGTTCAGTTGAAACCAAACCAGGACTAATGCTCTGTAAGAAGAGTTTATAATAAGAACAATTTTTTTATCTAATACAACATACTGTGATCTTGACTTTTGTTCCCAAGTTGTTAAATTCCTGTCGATAAATTTCTGTCATAGCAGTCACAGCAAATTTTGATGGTGCATACATATTAATTGATGAGGATTTAAGAGCTGTAGTATTTTTCACTCTATGACCAGCAACACTGTTTATTATTAAAACATGTCCATTAAAGTTATGTTCCTTCATTGATTTGAATGCACGTTTAGTACAATATACCACGCCCATAACATTGGTCTGTAGAACATTTTGCACAAAACTTGATTCAAGTTCACATAAATTTCCTAGTTTAGAAGTACCAGCATTGTTCACTAATATATCAATTCCACCTAGATTCTTTTCAATCCAATCAAATGCTTCATTAACCGAATCCTCTTTCGATACATCACATTGACGTGCATGTAGATTTTGTTGTTTTTCCTTGGACACGTGTTCTTTCAGTTCTTCAACGCGTTCCACACGACGTGCCAAACCAACAACAATTAATCCAGCATTGACTAAGTCTTTGACTATAGCAGCACCAATACCGGAACTGGCACCGGTTACCACAGCTACTTTATTTTGCCAACGGTCCATGTTTATTTTTGTTTCTTGTTTTTTGTTTTTTTGGTTTGAAACGTATATATGGACTTATGTGTTTACTTAACACCACCGAAAACATTACTAATGAATTTGTATCAAAACTCAAACTTTTAAAAGCTAAATTGTGGGAGAAGATTTGCAAGTTTTTATTAAATATATGCTTCTGGAAACTTTGATAAGTCTTAATGTCTGTATAAAAATATTTTTATTCACTTTATTAATGAATTCAAAAAATTTAAATATGTTTATTGCCGAGCTTTTGGACCTTTTTTAGTTGTAAGTTATTTAAAACGATGTAAAAAATATTTAAATGAAAACACTCATTTTATTTGTTAATATCAAATAAGAACTTTAGTTCATTAATTTAAAACAGATGTTTCAGTCTACTTCGTAAGCCAGCATCAGTATCGTATTTTTTTTTTGTTATTTTTTTTATTAATTAATATATTATTATTTTATGATTATTTTTTTATTATTTATTATATTATTCTATTAACAAAAGTAAAAACATTAAAAATCATATCAGATAAAATTATAAAAACCAAAATGTTAAATGACAACCATTGTTCTTCTTTGTCAAATTTTGGACCGGTGAGTAGTAAATTTGTCCCAACCTTCTGTGCCAGTCTTGTAAGTTAGTTGTTGATCATCTGGAACGTTGTCAGTTGATTATTTTTACATTATCGAAATAAGTGGAAATTAAATAACATTTAATGCACTGTTTTGTTAGAACGGTTTCTTGATCAGTATCCTATCTACTATCTATGACTTTCCAAATCATTTTAGTGTACAACGATTCTCGTTCGAAGTTTATTTTCAGGTTTGCTAACATATACCAACAGGTATCCAAGTTTTTATACCAAATAATGTTCATTAATCTAATTTATTAGAATTTTTGTTTTGGAAAAAAGTTAGTTTGTAGCCAGCTCCGAAGCTTCATACATTAGATATAATGTATGAATGTATGATATGGAGGTAATATCTGACAATATCGTTCAAAAAATTCAATATCGTTCATTAATAATATTCGTCCATTTGAAAGAAAGGAACAGTGATGCAATCAAATCGGAAATAAATTCTGTTTACGACAACCTAGCCATTGTTGTATCTCGCTAACAACAATTACATATTAGAAAGCTGAATTTAAACATGGTCACTCGAGTGTGTTTGATGAGGAACGTTCTAGTCATTCAAAAGAGGTCACAACTGAAAAAACTCTGAAAAAATCCAGGATATTATGTTGAATGATCCAAAAATAAAATTGCGTAAGATAGCAGAAATGACAAACATATTATATGAACGTGTATCGTATATCTTATATGTGTACTTGGGCATGAAAAAGATTTCGGCAAGATGGGTGCCGTGTTTGCTTACAATTGACCAAAAACGACAACGACTTCGTCAATCAAAACATTGTTTTAAAATGTTTATGCACAAACTAACTGTGAGCGTCGAGTAGTAACATTGATAAAACATGGATCCATTACTTCACTCTTGAAGAAAAACAACAAACCGGAGAATGGGTAGAGCCCGGAAGTAGTGCTCCCAAACGACCATGAGCTTAACGATCAGCTGGAAAATTTTTGGTGTCCCTATTTTGGGATTTAAGTAAAAAAATATTCATAGACTATTTGGAAAAATACAAAAACAATAACATTAGACTACTATCGCATATTATTGTATTGATTAAAATGAGGAAATGAAGTAAAGAAGTGACCATATTTGTCGAAGAAAAAAATTTTGTTTTTGCAGGATAACGCACCCGCTCACACATCAATGGAAAGCATGACAAAATTTAATGAATTACGATACGAATTGCTTCCTCATCCAATGCATTCTTCAGATTTGGCTCATAATGAATATAATATGTTTCCAAACTTTAAAAGAGGGCCCCAGGGCAAGAGAAAAGTGATAAAGTGGAATAGGAAACTGAGGTATATTTTGGAGGACTTGATAAATAGCATTATTTAAAAGATATCCAAATGTTGAAAGATGGTTGATTTAAATGTGTCGAGCTGAAAGGGACTATATTGAAGCATAAAATATAATTTTCCAAGCAAAAAATGTCTTTTTATTACTTAGGCCGGGAACTTATCAATCCACCTAGTATATAATGAGCCCAAAAATGCACTTAATTAAAAACGTAAATTTATAAATTTTATTTTAATTTAATTTAAATTAACAAAAACAAACGTTTAACAGAATTTTTGAACTTTTGATAGTTTAAATATTAAATTAAAATATTAGTCCTTAATTATTATTAGATTTTTCTTTTCATTTTTCTTCAACAATTTTATATAAATTAGAAGAAGTATTCTCTTCTCTTATTTGCCAAACTTTTACCACTTCACATTGCCTGCCCAGAACTATAAAATTTCTTGTACGAGTACTACTCTATGGAGGGAAAGTTTTTAACTCAATGGTCAAAATTATCTTACAAATTGTATTTCCGTTAAAGGCTACCACTGCGTTTCCGCAAGACGAGCTACCGAACTGAAACACACTGGCTTGCCTTTGAAACACTTGAATTCAAGGATGAAAAGAGTCCAGATACTTTTCACTGAACGCACATTTGAATAAGTTTAAGTGATTTGACTTAAATTTTAAATACTTTACAGTAAGTTGAATGCAGATGCGATTTTACTGGCGAAGTTTTGTGTTATATGCAAATGTTATTAGAGTATTCCAAATGGAGTTCCCTTGTAAGAAGATTAAGTAAAGCTTATGTATGTTATGTATGCAAATATTTGATATAATTTGTGATTTACGTCAGAGTATTAATTTAAATAATAAAATCAAACTTTTCTATTTATGGTAAACATTAACAGTGCTTGAAGAAAATTTAAGTTATTGCAGAAGATAAGAATTTGTCAGAAGATTTCGAGCGGCTGTGGTACCAGAAAATATCAATGCAGTGCGAGAAATCATTGAGATTGAATCTATCTTCATTACCAGAAGATAGAGGCGTCCTTGGGCATTAATGGGACCTGCATACATGCAATTTTAAATACACATTTGACTGTCAGAAGTATATGTTCCCGTTGAATATCCCATAATTTGACAATCGCTTAATAAAGAAAACGTGTTTATTGGTACGAGAAAATGCTGAAAAAATACAGCCGAGATAACTCAAAACACGCTTCTGACATAACTATAGGTGACAAATCATGGATCTATACCTATGAGCCCGAAATAAAACAGCAATCGACTGTTTGGGTCTTCCAAAGTAAGCAGAGCCCGATTTGCTGCGGGCGAAGCAAATCCAACAAAATGAACGCATGTTTTATCAGATAAACCGATCATGTCGAAACTGTACCACTTGAACAACATAGAACGTAATGTTCTCGGGAAATTAAAGAAAACAAGCCGTCGAAGAAAGATCAACCTCTACCACGTCCATGCGAGCTGCCACACATCAGCTCAAACAAAGGAATTTTTGAGCATTCAAAACGTCCAATTAATAGGTCAACCGACTTACTGTCTCGTCTACAATGACTTCTTATTCCTAAAAATTTTAAAAAAAAATACGGTCAGACAGGCCACTGACTATTTGAAACCCTGATTTTGGAGATACCAACTTTCGAGTAGCAAAACTGTTTCGAAGATTGATTCAATCGAATGTAAAAACATATTGATCACTGATTAATCACTGTATTTTTATTGTTAGGAAGACAAGCAGACAAGAAACGTACTAAACAACAGAAGAAACACGCGGATATGAATATGCGGAGTTTAGGAACATTATTCTATAAAAACTTGCGTCAAATGCAGTAGGGTCGTTGAGAAAACCCAAGCCTTTATTTTTAGACTTCAAACGTTTGCTAATTATCTAGAACTAAGGACGGTTTGCACGTTATGAGTTTGAGTTGAGAGACGTTGAAAGACAATTTCAATGAGCTCGAGAGGCAAAAAGGAAACGATTTCATATATCATGTACCAAAGCGAAATATCTAAACATTTTTATCCCTGATAAAAGTATTAAGATATGAAAAATAGCATTTTATTATTAGTGCTATTGGTACCTTAATCTAAAACCTTAACTATTTCTGAAACATATTACTTTTTCCCATCGTCTTTAGTTGAACTAAGTACAAATTATCATATTCTACTCATTCCCAAATAAACTAATCAAAACAAAATATGCATGTCAAAGGTATTCATTCAACTAATTAAATATTTAAGTATATTTATTAATTAAAATAAAAGCATTCTTAATTGCTTTGAATTACTAATTCATTTATAATTCAAATTCCCTCATTTAATTTAATAGTCAAATTAATTATTTAAATCGTGTGCGTTGGAACTATTTTGAAAATTTCATATAAATATTTGTGCATAAATGCTGAAACTATTAAAAGTGTCCAGTATTTCTATCAAAATATGGGTTACTTCGTGCCTATATTAAAAAATAATAAGCATTTGGTATATCCACTTCAGTTCAACGGCTACAAGTACAATTTCATTTGGCCACTGACTGAAAACTCGCCTTGGTGGCAGAGATGCCTCAAAGGCATTCTCATCTTAATTTCACTCTGCTTTTACGTATTAACGATTGCAGGAGAATATACTTTCGTTCTGGAAAACGGCAACAATATACCAGATTTGGCGGATTGCCTCAGCACAACGTTCATGGGTACACAATACATTTTCCGCATCTCAGTGTGGGTTAAGAGGCAAAATGAGATGCGTGCCTTGTATCGCCGTTTTTATAAGCAAATTTACTTCATCGAGTGAGTTACTAAAAGTATCTGCACCTTGTGACGTACACATAAATGTATATGAGTAAATATAAAACAAAGTTAATTTGCATTCTTTTAACTTTATTTGGCAAGTAGCACAGAAGATGCAGATTTTAATAAGGAAATTAAAAATTACACACGTTTCGTTGATTTCTTTACCAAACTCTACTACGTGCCAATGATGCTGCTCTATATGATGTTCGGCTATGAGTTTTACACCCAGGGTATGGCTTCACGAGATAAACCCCACATATATCGCATGTCCATACATTGGTACGATGCACAAGCGCCGATGCCTTACATCTTCACTGCCGTATATTCGGGCTGGCTGTGCTGGTCATGCGTCGGAGTATGGGCCGCAGATGATTTTTCACTCTGCGTGATGCTATGCCACGCCAGCTACCGTTACAAAGCACTGCAGAAGAATTTGGGCAATCTGCTAAAGGAAGTACGTGAAGAAGCTGCTAAGTGTTTGCAGCCAGCAGATCAATTGCATACAATATTTCGCAGAAAACTATATCAGGTGCTTAGCAGGGAGCAGAAGTTGAAAAGGTAGCGTACAAAATGTTTTCCAATAATTGAAAATTATTACTCAAGATTAAATGAAAATGTTGAAATAAACGCTGAAACGTGCTTGCCATATCAAATTTCAGTTTCATTGATGAAGCCAAACAACATTTCACATACGCAATTTTCTGCTGCCTCTTCTTCGGTGTGCTGTTGCAGTGCGTTGTACTCTTCCAGCTCCAAAGCGTAATATGCAAATAATTTATCTTATTTAATAATTTTTTATTGTTTTATTTTAATCAATTTTAAGTCCACGTTCGGTGTTGGTTGGCTCAAATACATCGCTTGGTTGATATCGCAAGTCTCTGAGCTAATTATGATTGGACATTTTGGGCAAATGCTCATGGATGAGGTATAATTGCATTATTTTCAGAAAACATTACTTCATAATTAATTAGATTAATTAATTTTTGTGTTTAATTAATTTATTCATATATGAGTTTTTTATCTCAAATCACATAGGCATCAGCCATGCAAAACAGTTACTATATGTGTCAGTGGGAGAAATTGCTACCGTATGGCAATCAACTAATGAATAAGTCTCTTATGCTGGATATTAGAAGTGCAATACAGAACGCAGAAACGCCTGTCGTTTTTGATGGCCTACGAATGTTCGCACTATCCCACAGCACTGTGGGTACCGTAAGTTCTACAATTTTTTAATATATAGTTAAAGTCTCCTTTGTTTTTGCGAAAAAAATGAAGTTTATTAGTGAGCAGAGCACCATTATCTGTTATTGACATATTGGCTGGTACGTTTTTTACTATTGGAGAGAACAAAGCAAATAGTAGTAACCAAGTCATATGGTTACTCTATGGATATGGATATTCTATTTTATTAGAATCACTGAATTAATTAACATGAATTGTCATGTTATAGCTTCAAATAATGAATACTGAATTATTGTTCAATTTTTATTCAGCTTCTGTTGCTAAAACATTTATGTAAACATATAAAAAACATTTCCTGGATTATTAACCTGAATCACGCAGTAATCCACATTAATCCTTATTTTAATTGAACTGGATAAGCCAAGTGCATATATTTTGCCAGATATTCACATATCAGACTAATTCAATACTTAAAAACAACAAGAAAAATTACAGATTTCTGAGTCTAAATAAATCTGAGGTCACAGATTATTCATTGATTCCTAACTATATGTGCTTCTGTAAACTACCACTTTTCGAAGATAAAATTCCCCGACACCTGCAGATTCTGTGAGGTGCAGAGTGAAATTATATGCTGGCGCCCTGCGATTGCCAGGAAATAAGTCCAGTACCTTTATTCAACTTTCGTTAATGCAATTGAGGAATAAGTTCTAGAATTGAGAGATATTATTAGGTCTGTCAACTGACTTAATTTTGTAGACGAGTTAACTTAGCATACTCTAGGGATAGCTTAGCACACTCTAGGGAAAATAGCTTTTATAACCAACAGTATCCCATAATCACTTCTAGGAATAATAAAGAATATTATATATATTACACATATTACATTATTAAATAAGTTTATTTATTTTTACAGGCTTTACGTTCGGCTATGTCATACTTTATGTTTCTAAATACCATGAATGATGCTGAGAAACCCAAATAAAAAAATTAACAAAAATAACCACAAATAAACAAAATAATTATAAACATTAATGTGAACAGAAATACGAGTATATATGTATATAAATACATATTTGTTAAACTTAATGTTAAATTAGTTGTAATTATTAATTTTAAGCATGAATAAATTCATGACGTATGAATGTTTATTATTATGCTATAGTGTTTCATTATAATGTAATATATTTATGTAATTTGTAGAAGAATACGCTAAATTACCTTGAACTTTTATAATATACCCAAGTTTAAAAAGAACTTATCAGAGCGTAAGATAAAACTTATCGTCAAGATAATTAAAGCAAATTAGTTTATACAAAAATTCATTTACTCGAGACAACGAAGATATAATAATATTATTATTTTGTACATTATTTTCACATTATTTTGGTTGTTATTAATTTTACATATTAGAATAATATAAAACATTCAATTAGAATTTATTTTGCCATCTTTAAAATAGACCCCATCGTAGAAAATATAATAATGTCATAATAAAAATTGTCATAAAAATGGGTAATCTGTTTAATAGTTCTGCTCTGGTAACACTGTTTCAGTGATATTTCTATAATTATATATTAATATTACAAAAATGTAACACAAACTATAACGTATTTCCCCTACTCCTGAGTTTTGTCCTTTCCACAAGCAAATAGCATACAAGACCAGCAAAACAATTTATTTAAATGTTCGCAGCCTGTGATCCACTGGTTTTTATGGTAAATAGCTGTAGAAAAACGGCGACTTACCACAGATTTCGACATTTTTACATCAGGTACGAAATTCTTCATATCTGGAGTTGGTCTATTCATTTTATGAATTAAACCCTTTTTTTCAGAAGATCGTTTAAAAAAAGATATTTGAATCAAATCTTTAATCACACATGAATCCATTTCTAAATATTACTTTTAACTTCAAATTTCTTTAATTTTATTCTTTACTTTTATCATTTGCTAGTATAAAATTGCAATAATGACTTTGTTTTTGGTTTATTTCCAACCTCTACACAAAAGCAAGAAACTCTCATGCATTCATTTACCCTTTTACTTTGTATTTACTAAGCGCGGTTCAGTTTTTTTACTGAACCATTTGCTCATATAAAACGGCAACCGTGACTTTGATTGTATTTGCATGCTTTGTATGAACTTGCCGTTCAGTTTAGTTGACTGAACCTTTAGTCAAATGTAAAGCGATTTTCGCTCAGTCATTTTTTTCTCTTTTGTATTTACTTTGCATAACATTGGAGGTTCATTTTTTACTGAACCATTTGCTCATATAAAACGGCAACCGTGACTTTGATTGTATTTGCACACTTTGTATGAACTTGGGGTTCAATTTAGTCGATTGAACTTCTAGTCAAATGTAAAGCGATTTTCGCTCAGTCTTTTTTTATCTTATGATTATTTTACGTACATATTTTGTGGGGCTTGTCTTCTCTTTTATTTTTATATTTGTTTGTATATTTTGTGTTTATTCAATATTGAACATAGTCCCAATGTGAATGGTATTTGATTTGCATGCTTTGTAAGCAGCGCGGTGCAGTTTTTATTCTGAACCTTAGTATATTTTAAGAGGAATGTATTTTCTCTTTTATTAATTATAATTAATGTTGGGTGTAACTAACATATGTATATGTGGTTTTGTTTGTATTATACGTTTTGTGTTTATGTTAATATGTTTGGAAAAGTTACTATAAAAAATGATAAGTACCAAAATAGCGAAATTATTTACCTAATAAAAAAAAGATCTAAAAAGGAAGCTTTGTTAAGGTGTTCAGTGAACACTCTGAACCATTCGACGCCTCGCCTCTGCTTATCACTACAGCCAAATGATTACTAAATTTTTTTTAGACTCAAATTCAAGATTACGATATGAAAGATATGTAGTTTCAATAGAACAATGTCATAACCTACAAAATGTCATAACCAGTGATGTACAAAATTTTAGAAACATTTCCAATTCGATATTAGATATTAGATACTTTTCAATTTTAATTTTCAAATGGGCAATTTATTCAAAAAATTATTTTTTGATGAATTTAGTAAAATTCTTTTTAAAAAACGCTTACAATTATTCCAAATATTTAAATTAAATAATAATATTTAATAAAATTTATTAAGTTTTTATTTATTTAAAATTAAATTTTATAAAGAGGTTTTCGAAAAGTAGTAAACTACAACAGCACAAATTCTTTTTTATATTTAATTAATTAAATTTTTGGCTGACCATACAGCTGTTTTGAGTATTGTCAAAATACCCATCATCAGTGGTCTTGGATATAATTCTTGTATTTAATTATTCGTATGTAAATTTTTTTTGAGACTGAAAGTACCAGGAATCGTACTTGTGCCCTACCAAATTTGAAGCTCAGAGTCAGCGCTCTTTAATCAAATAACCCAAAGCCGTACTTGATTAAATTTTATATAATATTATATATAACTATTATAATATATAGAATAGCATGGCGGGGGTATAAAGTATATTTTGACATATTGTTGTGGAGGAAACTTTTTTAGATTTTTATGAATCAAATCAAATCTGGGATATAACTATATATATAACGTACGTATTAATGCAAAAGACTGAAAAATTATTTAAATGATTATTTTACTTATTATGCACAATTTTTTTTATTCTTAAATAAACAATCACTTTCTAAGCAATAATTTCTTTTGATTTCTGATAAATATATTTTTTATACAAAATATTTACTTATTTTACTAAACAAAATATAAATCAATGAATACAAGCATAATTTTTATATAATTTTCACATATTTTGAGTTAACGTCAAAATATAGTCGCGGTATTCAAATAAAAGGATGCATAAAAGCTGTGAGGAAGTCAACTTCCTCTATTTAATATTCCGTTATGGTATCAGTGGAATATTTCAGTTTTATATTTTGTGCAATTTTATTGATTCAAAGTTAAAATTTCTAAGGATATTTGAAATGTTTACTATTATATAGAGAAGGAAGTGCACACAACTGAACGGAGTTTCCTCAAATGATAAATTCAAGTAATATTGTAATATTATACCTGATCAGCAAATTGTTGTATAGATTTTCCAAAAATTTTATATTGAAAAATAATACTTATAGCTGCATATGTATTGAATTAATTGCAATAGTGTATGCATATGTAATTATCATAATTGTAATTGAAATTAAATTAAATAATTAGTAATAAAGACAATAATTATAAAAATATATATGTGCTAGTGTTGTTATCACAAACAAAATCGCTTATAGAGATTCTTGATCCAAAATGATTTAAGAATTACATGTAAATATAAAAAAAATAACTTAAGAATCACGACTGGAGTCCCGACAAGGACCTGTACGCAACTAGAAATTTACGTAAGAACTGGGAACGTACGTTTTATAGATGATAAAACATGACCGACAAGCACATGTTTGTAGTTTACACAGCTATAATGCGTATATGATATATACGCAGACATGTATCTTATAACAGACGAAAAAATAAAACTTGGTAAAGTGTATCCAATACTACCATTTATCAAAAAACCTGACTTAGAGAAACGCTCCAAATCCATGACAGGACGCAATAGATCTCTTAGTTAAATAGATCTGAGTGTTAAATTCCCTACTTTTATATCAACATATATAGAGTGAATATCCTCGCTCTAAATTTGAAACAAATTTAATGCTCGAAAATTTCATATGCTTTATTGATTTCTTGATACAGATACTGATATTTATACTGAATTCTGGAAGCTCAAAAATCAATATAAATATTGGCATAAAATTGGGTCTCCTTCTAGAAAATTTAGGTATTTATATTTGTGGTTATTATTCAGATATATTCGGTAACTCGATAAAGTCGTAATTATAGACATATCAGGACATAATTTTTTTTGGCAAAAACACTAGGAGACTCTAATTACTGAAAAGTGTTAAGTTCAATCTGAAATTTAAAGCTTTTGAAAAATAATAAATTAAGAAATATTAATGAAAGTAAGGAAATAAATAAAAAAAGAATGTTCTAACTTAAAACTTATTTATTCCATAATTATTTGTTCAGCTGCTTTGGCAGTTTTATTTTACAACTTTACCGAGAAAGAATTAAAAAGCGGTCTGCACGTCTAAATGTTTATCACTTTGATTACCTTACCGAATATCGAGTTACCGAATAACGAGTTACCAAATTACCAAGCAACGTCTCAATATCCTTTATGCTTTAATGTGTATCAATGTTAGACACTAAAGCATCTTAAAAACAAATAGAAATTGCTTCTATGTTAAAAGAATTAAAAACAATTTTAATAACATAATAAAATTTAATTTAATTTTTATTAACATTTCACACAATTTTAAGGAAAACATAAAATTTAATTAAAGTACTCCACACTCATCAGAACACTTTTCTTGTTAATAACGATACATGAAATCTAAATTGAATTACTCTTCATGGTTTTGTGAAATATTGAAATACTTTGCGAAAGTTCGAAATAAAAATATTAATAATAAACTATTTTTATTTATTTTTTATATAGCTTTTAAAAAAAACATACGTGTTACTGAAGTTTATGCATTTGAGTAAATTTTTATAGAACATATCTACATGTTTGCAATATTTAATTTCAAAGTTCGTGTGCAATTAACTCACCGTTTACACTTGCAAGACTTTAGCAAGACTTGTGTTGATAAAAAGAACAAATGTGTGAGGAGTGTATGTAAAAATCTTGCTGACGTCTAGCAAGTATAGACGTTATCTAACTAAGCGTTTTTGTTCGAACATAAAAGTTTTGCCAAAGTTCAGTCAATGTAAACACTTAATCTAGGTGCTTATGTTGATATAATTAAAAGATTATAATAATTTCTACTATTATAATTGTATTACTAATATATTAAACGTTTAAAATATATTAGAGCTATTAATAATAGAATATAGAATAATAGAATAATAAAGCAAATATGTATACTTTTTTCTTGATTAAAGCAAAATTCCATTCACTGCACAA